GTTCCAGCCGTTGGTAGATGGCTCTTACCGTTGGGAGCTATTCGCACCCGTTAGAAATGGTCCCTCGTTGACGATGGTGATCTCCCACGATGAACGATGTTCCTGAAGTGGTCCATGGATTGGTGATCCTCCCACGGAGGTCTCACTGCTTCTCGAATGTCTGTAAAAAAGTTTTAAATTTAGTAATAGAAAGAAAATATCTGAAAAAAAAGGAAGTAAGAAAAAATTAAGCTAAATAAAAAATAAAAGTAAAGTATAAAAGAAAAAATAAAAGTCATAAATTAAAAATTAAGTTTTAGAGAAAAGAATTAATGTAAACATAGAGACGTTAATCAAAAAAAGAAATTAAGTTTTGAGAAGTAGGAAAAAGATTTAAGCTAAATAAGAATAAAAGTAATTAACAAATAAAAGTCATAAATTAAGTTTTAAAAAAAATAATTAATGCAAACATAGTTAAAAGACACATGAAAAGTTAACCAAAAAAAGAAATTAAGTTCAGGGAAAAGTTAGAAATGTATAAATTATAAAACAGGAAGAAAGTAGAGATAAGGAAAAAGTATTAAAATAACTACTAACGAAAAAGTAACCACAAGCTTATACCTCTCTTGAAGTATGCTGGCGATCCTGGCAGGGGTCCATTACCCCAGGGACCATTTTAGCACAATTGAATACCTCCCAAATGGAAACAACCCCCATTCCGTGATTTTTGATGTTGGAAGGGACTTCTAATTCTTGGATGACGGTTCTAGGCATTGGTAGATGGCCCGTACCGTTGGGAGCTATTCGCACCAGTTAGAAATAGTTCTTCGTTGTTGACGAAAGTGATCTTCCGCGATGAAGGATGTTCCTGAAGTGGCCAAAGGATTGGTGATCATCCCTCGAATGTAAATGTCTCTCGAGTGTCTGTAAAAAAGTCATTAATTTGTAAAAGTAAGAAAATATCTGAAAAAATAGAGGTAAGAAAAAAGTTTTAAACTAAACAAAAATAACAAAAAATGTTTAAATAATAAAAGGTGAAGGTAATTAATTCAGTTCCAAAGAAAAGAATTAATGCAAACATATTTAACATATGAAATTATAACCCCAAAAAAGAAATTAAGTTCTAGGAAAAGCTTACAGTAAATAAAATATAAAAAAGGAAGCATGTAATGATCAGAAAATGTAATCACCTTCACGTTGTTTAATGATGATCATATCTGTTGAAGATGTGATACAAGTACCACCCTTCCACGGATAGGATCATCTTCGAACCACCTGAAGGTGTTCCTGTTCCCGGAGGGATAAGTCTTACCTATGAATGATGATCCTAGACGTTGGAAGGGACTTCTAACCCTTCGAAGACAGTTCCAGTTCAGTAGATGGCTCTTACCGTTGGAAGCTATTCGCGATTGTTAGAAATGGTCCCTCGTTGATGAAGGTGATTTTCCATTATGAACGATGTTCCTGAAGTGGTCCAAGGATTGGCGATCATCCCACGGTGGCTTCACTGTTTTGTGGAATATCTGTAAAAAAGTTTTGAATTTAATAATAAAAAGAAAAGCTAAATAAAAATTTAAAAAATATGTATAAAGTAAAAGGTAACGGTAATAACTTAAGTTCTATGTAATTTAAACTGCAGTGAAAGAATTTCTACTAGATAGTGTTGAAAAATCTATTAATATAGTAGAAGTTAATCTTTCTCTTTTAATTGTTACATTTCCATAACTATCGTTTGATTTTCTTTCGAATATATCAGGCATCGATAGTTTTTGCTACTTTATCTTAATAATTTTGCTTTAATTTAGCAGAATCAAGCAACAGCGTCATAAATTGGGATCTGTTTTTAGATTTTTGAAAATTGATAAGAAATTTTGTATTGAAATTATGTAAGCTTCCAATATATACATCTTTTCATTTATAAGAAGGAGTTGGGGGTATTCAGTATTAGTTTTAATGCTCTGTTTTAAATTTTTGCTTTTCGAACTTAATTATTTATATTGCAGTAATAATTGAATGTTTGAATTAATGTAACTAATTTTCCCATAGAAACGAAGATTACGCAAACCCTGGACTTCATACTATGTGGTTGGGCAACGATTGTTGCAGATTTTAATCTACTCCAGCTGAAGTAGCAGTGCCTATATTATCAATTGAAAAGGTATAATTTGGGTGAGTGACAACATTAAAAATATTTTGATTTTGATTTAATATTAAATTCTCATTAATTCATTATTATAGTTAACAGACAGAATAGAGAAAAATAAATAATTATATTAGGTAATTTAGTATAAACGTATTACAAACGTTTAATGTATTTGATAAAAAAATCGTGAATAATTGACAATAGTTTTAAAGCATACAAGTGTTTTTATTAATTATTAATTTTAACCTTTAACGATTAATTGATTTAATTTCTTTTTAAAATGCTTTTTTTGTCAATTTAATAAGAGTTTATTTAAAAAACATGCCTTTACATTTACATTAAAAAATTATATTATTCTTTGTTAAAAAAAATATAATTTTAGATATTTCCAATAATTACAAGTTTACATCATCATATTATATAAATT